TATTACCTATTAAGATGTCATTTTCTCCAAAATAGCTGTTCCGATCATCCAATCTTCTCTGTCTCATTTCTGTTGAGCTCTTATTCTGTCAGTAGCTGTCAGTTTGTCTTCTTCACTTTGTTCTCTGCTCCATTCGTTGTGGCCTCCACTATTTCTGGATTCTTTGTATTTTTGTTTTTTTAGAATATCCTGCAATACTCTCTGTAGAGTTGAATTGGTGGTTGCAAATTCCCCCAGTTCCTCTTTATCCTGGAAGCACCTTGTTTTTCCATCAATTTCCAGGGACAGTTGTGCAGGATATCTCAATCTTGGCTGGAGATTATTATCTTTCAAAGCTTGAATTATTTCCCCCCACGCTCTTCGTGATTTGATGGTTTGTGCAGAGAAATCTGCTGTAATTCTGATGGGTGTTCCCTTGTAAGTGGTCTGTTTCTTGTCTCTGACAGCTTTTAATATTCTGTTCTTGTATTGAATTTCTGGAATTTTTATTATTATATGCCTGGGTGTAGTTCTGTTTGGGTTGTAGGTGGCTGGGGTCCTGTATGCCTCATACATCTGAGTATCTTTACCTTTTGCTAAATTAGGAAAATTCTCCTGGATTATTTCTGTGAGTAGCTTTTGTAGTTCACTTGTTTGTGTCCCTACTTCTTCTTTTATGTTCTTAATCCTTAAGTTATGGATCCTCTTATCATCTTCTTGTTTTTGTATTATTGCTGTTTGTTTCTTTGTTATTTTTAAGAAGTTTTTCATTTCATTCTCCCATATTACAAGTCTGCCCTCCAGTTCAGATAGTCTGTCCTTAGTTTCTTTCAAGCTGTTATGCCAGTCTTCGATAGACTTCTTAGTATCTTGGTAGTCCCTTTGAACCTGCTTCACGTATTCTATGCTTTCTCTGTTTTCTCCATCAAACAATTCTCCCCTTTTTTTCTGTTCTTCCATTCCACCACCTGTTTTTTCTTGGGTGGTACTTAGCATTTCTCTAACTATTCTGCCTACTTCTAGCTTCAGGTCGTTGATAACTTCATTCCTGAATTGGTCTATGAGGCTCTCTATATGGCGCCTTATGTGTATTGGTGCGGTGTCTGCTATTGCCTGATTCTCAGAATTGGGGGCCGAGGAGCCTTTCTTGTTGCTGCCTCTTCCCATGCTGCCTCTTCTTCTCTGTTCCTTATATATGCAAGCTTATATAAGAGGCCCAGCTTCTCTCCCAGTCAGCCACAGCCTGATCGAATTGCGCCAGTTAGGTGTTCCCGCTCACCGCTGCGCACCAGGGAGTTACGGACCAGGCAGCCTACGCGTCTCCCCTCCCGGCCACCGTCAGGCTCTGGGATCTGGGTTGGGACAGCCTACGGGATCCGCCAGCAGCGTCACGCAGGCCAGGCACTTTTCACCAATCCCGCCCAAGAGGGGAATGTGTGGTGGGAGTCGCCACCGCGCCCTGCTCCCGCAGGACTGCTGGGGCCCAGGAAGTCCGCTGGAGTCAAACTGTGGCTCAAACTGTGGCGGAGTGTCAGTCTCCCTCACTCACCTCGCCACAAGTCAGAACATGCCTCCCTGCCCGTCCTGTTTTCGACTCCGTTCGCAGACTCCCGCTCCCAGAGTTTCCGCGCGTCTCTCTCCTTGCTGAGCCGATGTAGAGGCGGCCAGCCACCGCGCGGCGGGAAACCCAAATCGCGGCTTCCAATGGCGCGGGGTCCAGCCTCGGAGCAAGGCTTTTCTGTTCCTGTTTTAGCACCAGGACTGCATTCCAAGTTGGTTTCTCTCAGCCGAGTTCGTTCCTGAGTCAGCAGAGCATAAATCCATCAGCTTATGTCTCTTTAGTCCGCACCATACCTGGCTTCTGAGCCTAGTTTTTCAGAGAGCCTCCGGCAGTTGCTGTTATCTGTCCGCCATGTTCTCCCTTCGACACCAAACACAAAAGGGTTGCTGAACTTGGTGAAACTGAAAAGAAAGAGGTTCTTGAAGGGAAACTGAGGAAATATCATTCCTAGTATCTTAGTATTTGCAACTATATTTCAAAACAAATCATCTCACAGCTGCTAGATTACAAATTTCACTATGCATGGCAAGACATGGTAAGCCCCTTTCTAATGGAAATTTTATCAAAATGGCTATGTTGTCTGGGAGTAATTCCTTTTTCCATAATTTCTCAAACAAGGATACAATTATACAATCCATCTCTGAGATGTTAGTAAGCAGAAATACTTTTAAAGATCAAGTTCTGCACATGGCAAGTGATATTACTCTGTAGCTCACCTCTGTCTTACAAAAGGCAATCTGTTACTCAATGTGCTTGGATGAAAGCACAGATATAAACAATCAGAAAAGGCTTGAAGTAAGTTGTGTCATGCTGTTGATGACATCATGAGAGAAGAGTTGGTGAAACTGGTGTCTTTGCTTAGAAAAACACAAAGGATAGACATCTGCAGTGCTGCGATGGAGGTTTTCTCTCACAAGACATAAGACCGGAAGATGAGGCACTTCACACAGTAAGGGCAACATCTGGTTTTGTACAGTTGTTTGTTAAAAAGGAAGTAAGTCAAACAGGCATTCCATTTCATTGTTGTGTACACTGTGAAGCGCTTTGTGCCAGGGAGAGCAGAAAAATTTAGATAATAGTCTCAAAGTCCTCACAAAACTAGTGACCAGCATAAAAGCTTGTGCTCTTAAATTTTGACAGCTTTAAGCATTTCTTGATGAGGGTCAAGCTCATCAAAGTATAATGCTTTTACTCTGGTACAATAATGTCTAGTGACTGAGCAGAGGATACGTCCTGGGGAAATTTGTAGTCTGCATGAATGACATTAAGCTGTTTATGGTGAAAAGGGACGGGAACATCCACAGCTTAGTGATGTGGCCTGACTTAACAACCTTATGTATTTTACAGATTTTACATCATACTTCAGCATACTGAACAAAAAACTACAAACTATAGGGAAAACAGCAAAAAGGATGTTTTGTGACAACAAAACATTTCAGAGAAAACTACAGGATTTTGAAAGAAATCTTGAAAGTGGCAGATGAAATATTTTCAAATCTAACAATGCATTTAGAAAGTTCAACATTTGCAGATAGTCCTACAAGTCATCAGGAAATTTACCAGGAATTTTCTAGCATTGCAGCACCTGCAAAGGAGAATTTCAACAACAGCTTTTGACAGTTCTGTAAGATGTAGAAAATTCTGTGTTTTCTTAGTTCTCCAGATGAAACCAAATTTGAAGAACTTGATCTTTTAAAACTGGTTAGACTTTGGAAATCTGAAAGTGTAGTTATTGGAATTTCAGGAAAGATGAATGTGTAAAAATAAATTCTATTACCTGTGTGCAACACTTGAGAAGACAGTGAAGACAGTGAAGGGATGACAAAGGACAGTACAGTTGGTAGCTCTACAAATGAAATCCTTAAACGTGTGGCACTCTCTGCCAAATAATGTTAAGTCAATGAAAGCATTTGGGATTGCTTTTCTTACTTTGTTTGGGTCGTGTTATGCTTGTGAACAACTGTTTTCAGCTTTGAGTTATATCAAATGTAATACAAGAAACAGACTATCAGATGATCTACATGCATTACAATCAAACTAACAAAATACGATCCAAGTGTTGACAAATTATCAGCATGGATGCAACAGCAAAGGTCACATTAATTGTGTGAAAGCACACCAAATACAAATTTTTAAAAGATGCTTGTGTCACTGAAAGTTCTATTACTGAATTTTTCTTTTAAAGCAAAAGATGTTAATATACGGATTATTTTTTCTAAACTAAAACCTCAGTATTCAGGTTTCATTACAGTATTGGCCCAGTGCGATATATAAGGGTTGCAGTATGGCACCCAGTCTCTAAAAGTTTCACCATCACTGGACTAAGTGATTCCTATCTTACTCAAACTATCGAGAACATAAGGATGATAAGCTTCTTTTTTTCATTTTCTGAAGTTAGCCAAGTCTGAGTTCCAAATTTCATAAGGAAGGGACTCAGTTAAAAAAAAGAAAATTACAGAACTCTGTGACATTTATTGATATTGGAGTCACTTTTTTTTTTTTGTTTAGAGAAAAAAAGCAAAACAAAAATAGGTAGAAATAATAACAGGACTGAAAAAAATGATAAATCACTAGTTGATAAATTATGTATTCTTATCTTAGAAGTGCTACTTAAGTGTGCATGATAGAGCCACTTGTTTGGAGGACACAGTAATTCTGTTGAAAATAAGTTGCACTTTATTTTCTCTGCTGCAGTTTTAGCATAGTTTGTTGTCTTTTAGGTGGTCTTGAACTCTTTTTTTTTTTTTTTTTTTTTTTTCACCACTTCCCCATTGTGTTGGAGTTTGAAGCCTGACCCTCAGGAATGTAAGGCAAGTGCTTTTCTGGTGGGTCACACCCTGAGCTAGTCTTTCAATTTATTTTTAAACTTTAAATGTTTTTCATTGCTTTACACAGAAATTTTTAGAACACTTTTTACTCTCAGAAAAATTTGTGGGGAGAAGGAGGATAGCTCTTCACACCCTTTTCCGCACAACTTATTTTTAACATTAATATTTCCACATGTCTTATCTTTTTATTATATTTTATTTTTATTATTCATTACTCTAATTTTGATTTTACACTTTTAATTCTTTTTCTTTTATTTTTAGTTTATAACTGACTTTCTTATTTATGCTTTATTTTTATTTTATTGATGTACTACTATTTATTTTATACTACTTGATCTTCATTTTCTTGTGCTACTCTATTATACACTTAAACTGAATTTCTTAGTTTCTTGTATTCAATGTATCCTTTTGTTTTATATCTTTGGTTTTAGCTCACATTCATAATTTTTCCTAATTATCTCACATGTTCCTAATAATGGTAGGACCAGGGATATAGATCAGCTGCACAGTGCCTGCCTGGCAAGCACTAGATCATGAGTTCAATTCTTGGTACCAAAATAAAACAAACAAAAAAGCATTATTATAAGTTTTACTTGTAAAGGTTGGCACAATTTTTTTTTTTTTTTTTTTTTTTTAATATGGAACGCTTCACAATTTGTGTGTCATCCTTGCGCAGGGGCCATGCTAATCTTTTCCACATGGTTCCAATGTTAGTACATGTGCTGCGAAAGTGAGCACAAGGTTGCCATTTTTATGGTGTCTGCAAAGCGGTTTAATATGAATGACCCAAGCAGGAAGCATTTGTCCCACTGAAAGATAATTTTGCATTGTCCATCAGAGCCCCTGGAAGTAGTATTTCTGAGCCCACTTCTCTGTCACAGTTTAATGAAGGGAGCAGAACTCTTGATCCTAGGCAGTTACCGCTGGGAAGCAGCATAGTGCTTTTCATAACCTGTGGCCTAACACAAAGACAACATTAGGTCTTAACTCGGGTTCATACCTCCGCATTTGTTATATAGCCTAAGATCAGTTTAAGTGTTAGAAATATTTCCTTCCAATTTGCAAATTTATGCTAAATTAACCCATTTCTTCTTTATAACTCCTGCCTTCCCCATTCTGGAAGAGCTCAATAGTCTTTCTTTATTTTCTTTTCCCAAGCATCTAGCAGTCCTTTGATTTTACAGATACTTCGAGTTATTTGGCAGCTTTTGTGCAACTAAGCTCTAGGGTGGATGATTTTACTCCATTCCTAACTCCTTACCTTTAGTTTCTGGCAGGTGCATCCAATAATAGAAGGTACTTTTAAATCAACCTACCTACCTATATAACTTCCTACCTACCCACAGTGTATGTACTCCAAAATACTTATAGTGTAACATACAAAGATATTTGCAGGATGTCTAGTCTGCCATTGTGCTGAAATTTAAAGTCTGTTAATGATTTCTCATTTCTGTTCTCATCAGTCTACTATTATTTGAAATCAATCTCTCACATTCCTTATTCTTTACTCCTTTAAGACTCTTTCCTGCCTACTACTTTCCATTTATAAAAAGTGACACATTCGAAATATTTTCAATCTCTTTGTCTCTTTCCTATTTCCTTCTATTCCCTGATGAGAACTTGGAAAAGCTTTCACTTATCTTTCATCCGAACACTCAAATATTAAGTTGGCTGAGATAGTTTAGCACTTATTAGAATTCTCACATTTTAGTCTTGTCCTTTTTCAAAAGACTTTATTTAGTATGTATATTTTCCAAGTATGTCTATGACAAGATAATATGCATATATATGAATATTACATTGCTTATTCTTTCTGTCTCATTTCTATTTTCTCTCCTGATTCTTTTTTTTTTAATTTGAGAGGTTGCTTATCATTTTTTGCAGAGTGACTAGAGATATAGTTAAGTAGTACATACAATATATACTTAATGTACTTGACAGCCTGAGTTCAATTTACAGCATTAATTTTAAAAAGTTTCATGTTTTTTTCATTCTGTACACAAGTGGCATATTAGCTGATTTTGTACCTATTGAAGTATTCTTTTGTTACCCCTTATTTGAATATTATCGTGTCCATTTATTGTGCGCTGGGCAATATTTTTTCTCTTGAGCTATAAATACTTTTGTAATTTCTTCTAAGCACATTTTGCAAATGATAAATGAGGTTTTCAATAGCTTCTTTTGTTGGGAAACTTGCAGATTTTAAATATACCTTTAAGTGCAGATGTTGTCTGATGATGTCTTTGTATGAAGTTTTTACATTATTAATTGTATTTGAAAATATGTGAACATTTTCAGTAAAGATTGTGCCTTGTATTTGGAGAATTATAGTTATCATTTTATCACAACTTTTATAACTTTTTTATTAACTAACATCCCTTTGAAAGCTATTAATTCATATATTAGATCCCCTAATATATTCATATATTAGTTATCTCTTAGGATCTATGTGAGATTAGCTCTAAAACTCTGTACTGGTTCCAAAATCTGTAGATGATCAAATCTCTTATATTAAATGGCATAATATTTTTGTAACACATTAACAGCCTCCTTTGTACTTTCTATCATTTATAAATTATTTATAAAGCTGATACAAAGCAAATTATATGTAAAGAGTTGTTACACTATATTTTTAGGGAACAGTGACATGAAAATGTCTCTATGTGCTCCATATGGATATAATTTTATTTTTTGGATATTTTCAGGTTGTTGGTGAGTTTGTCGATCCAAAACTCACTGGTATAGAGACTTACTGCTTATAAGTTTTCTGCCTTAATTGTCTTCTCTTAGAAAATATGCTAACCATAAACGATGATAGTCTCAGCACAAATATGTCTCTTGATCTCTTTTCTCTCTCTCTCTCTCTCTCTCTCTCTCTCTCTCTCTCTTTCTCAATCTTTGTTGTTTTCTCTTGCTTCTAGATGGGTAAATTATTTAAAACCTCAAGGTAGTTAATTAAATAAATCTCAGATATTATGGCATACAGAATATGTTAACTTATTTATATTAGATTTTTAGATTAATCACATTATATTCATTATTAAATTTTTTACTTTAAAATAATTATTCTCGCTAAAACTTGTAAGAATAGATCTTTAAATCTGGAGGTCGGTCTGGATATATAAAATGCATATACACTTCTCGGATGAAGAAGTAACAATGGCAAATAAATACATGAAAAAATGTTCGGCATCACTGGTTATTTGAGAGACATGAATTAAAATAATACTGAGATTCTATTTTTTTTCCTTTTTTTAAATTTTATTTAAGGAGAAAAGAAAAAAAAAACAGTGAAAGGGTACAAGTTATACAGATTTACAGGAAAAAAAATGAACAGTAGGAAATCACTAGTTAATGGATTACATATTGCCATCTTAGAAATAATTGTTCAAGTCACAAAATTAAAGCTTGTAGAGTGGACATTCCAACAATGATACTGCAAACAGTTCTGTTCAATGATCCAATAAAACTCTGTGATATCATTTTCTATCTTATACACTTAAATATACATGCAGTTATATAGTTTAGAGCACTTTCTTTTCCTCTCTTTTGTACAATGACTATTACACATTTTGGGTTTCATTGCTCCCACGGTTCTTATTGCTTTTTTGGAAGAGAGTAAAACCAAATGTGACATAACAGAACAGAATCGGTCAAGTCAAAAGGGTGGACATAATAGATTCTACTTCACTCCATAAAGAATAGCTATCATCAAGAAATTGACAAGTATGGGAACCCATTACTAGCTCTTTGTGATGGAAATCTTTGTTAACTGGAGATTCTTGCCCTAGTATAAATTACTGTACAATTATGGCAGAGGTTTATCCTGGCAGAGGCCGAAGAGGGCGTGCTTACCACTTCCTCCTTCTTCTTCAGCCCTAATTGCAGCTCCCCTTTCTGTTTGCACACAAAGAAAATTCCATTCAGTTCTTAACACATCATTAATGTCAATGCCTGTGCCACTTCTGATCAGAGGTCCTATAGCCCTCTGCCTCTCGGTATCCAGTCTAAGGAGATAGCCCAACTGCCATGGGTTGTGTGCTCTTTTCCACGTCCTCAATAAACCTGTTCTTTTTTTTTTTTTTTTACTTTTTGCTTCTCTATTGTGCTTAGATAACTCTAACATTAACTATACTCATAATTATCCTGTTGATTATATTATTTGGGCCATGTATGCTTAATTATTTCTTTGGCTTTGTCTCCTCCACACTTAATGCTATACAACCATCCAAGATGAAATTTACTAGTGTCTATCAGGGGCCTTTAGATAGACCTTCTATAGAATAACTCTGACTGCCCATCAACTACTATGCCCCTTTTTCAGCCTGAAGAAGCCAGATCTATCATTGCCCATTTCTCCCTCATGCAGTTCAGGATACTCCTTCAGAGCGGGGAATGTTACAGGCAGATGAGATAGTTAGAAATATTATAGGCAGTCAGACCGGTCTAGGACCTTGAGGAAGCTGTAACAGAGGATCAGATGTCTGATGATTTTGTAGGAAACACACACCTCTTGCTGTGGGCTAGATCTCAGGACAGCAGACAAAACAAATGCAACCACACCCTTAAATAAAATCCTTAGGGATTAAATCTGGATCACTTTGAGAAACCAGGAGTCACCATCCCAACCCACTATAGAAGAACCACTGATCCGTAAAGAATGCTGGCTTGCTATGTGACTCACCTCCCCATTTATCCCTGATTTGGTCAGTTTTACCTGAATAAGTAAGCTTATTGGTTGAGTATTGCTCTGTTCCACCTCATGCCCATCTGCTTTGTGAATTCCCAGTTTTTCCCAGCTTTCAACCATCCTCACCTCATGATTTTACTCTACAAAAATTCTGAGAAAATATAGAATCTTTGGCAACTCGCTTGGGACCCCTTCTCTCTCTCTGACAGAAGAAGCTTTCTTCCTCTCATTAAATATTTCTGCTCCAAAAAAGAAAGAAGAGAAAGAAAGAAAGAAAGAAAGAAAGAAAGAAAGAAAGAAATTGACAAGTAACAAATGCTGGTGGGGCTGTGGGGGAAAAGGAACCCTTCATTTTTGGTAGGAGTGTAGACTGGTACAACTATTCTGGAAGTCAACTCAGAGATTCCTCATAAAAATTAAAACTAGAGATTCCATTTGACCCAGCTATTTCTTTCTTAGTATTTTCCTAAGATAAATAAAAGCATCATACCAAGTTAATGTATACATATCTATTTTCCAGCAGCACAGTTTGTACTAGTTAAATCTTGGAAACAACTCAAATGCCCATCAACTGATGAATGGGTAAAGATGGGGATTTTTTATTCAATGTACTATTCTGCCATAAAGAAGGATAAATTTGTGACATTTCTCCATAAATGGATGCACCTGAGACCATAGCCCTACGTGAAATAAATTGGACACGCATGTGTAACTATCACATTGTTTCTCCACTGTGAGAAACCAAAAGTGCAAATAAGGACCAAAATATAAAATAGATATTGGGCAATAGCACAGAAGTGTTCAAATTGTAAGGAGAGCATGAAAGAGGGGAGGGGGAATGGAAGACAGAGAAAAGAAAAAAAAGAAGAATTGGAGAAAAAATGGAAACAAAGTTTTTATAAATAAGGAGTGAAAGAAAGATTGAAGGGAGGGGAGGACATTGGGGAAAAATTAGAATCAAAATACCTTATGGCCAGGCATAGCATTGGGAAGGCTGAGGCAGGTGGATCATTGTGAGGTTGAGACCAGCCTGGGCTACAAAGTGAGC